AGCGGATGATCTAGTGATTTAATATTCATACAACTCTTATTTTCATATCTTCTTTGTGTAAACTTTGCTAGATGAAACGTAATATAAAAAGTTGTGGGATTCAAAGTATACATTTTATTACAAAAAAAAAAAATTTATTAACTGTGATTAGTTGGTCAGCATGTGATGTTAATTTTGATTGGTTTGAAGAATTTGAGAAATAATCTGCATTTTGTGTAATCTTGATTAATATCATTTCGGGTTTCAGAGTCTTTTTCAGTTTTCGGGGTCTATTTCAGATTTCAGAGTCTATTTCAGATTTCGGGATCTATTTCAGGTTTTAGGATCTATTTCGGGTTTCAAGATTTATTTCGCATTTCAGAACCTAAAATGTTCTCAACTATATGATGGATAATAAATATCACATAGGTTTAACATCTAAAAATAGAAATATATTACACAATTTAAGACTATCATAATTTATATATACTTTATATTACTATAATATGCTAATAGTAGTTAAAAGATTCATTTATAAAAATCTAAATAAAAGATTATACAAACTAATACTCTAATACACATTATGCTTGTTGAATCGTTGCTTTTATCAATGTTTAGAATCTGTAGTTTGGTGTTTCATAATTATTTATTTAATATATACTTCATAAAGAAACTTGCTATAAAAAATTTGTGTAATTCAGAGAGATTCAACTGATATTGTTAAATTATAACCTGAAGGTCCAAAAGCTTTAAGTTTACTTAGTAAGCTTGCAAAATATTTCATAGACAAGCTATACAAGCCTTTTGAAAAATCTATAAAGTAAACCAAAGAGTTTAATATAACATGCTTGTTTAGAACCTTGTGGATGATGAACTATAACTATCTAGCTAGTTTCAACTGAAGCTTCTCTTCAGAATAGCAGAAATAAATTAACAGCCTATTTAAATAAACCTATATGATCAAATAAGATTTCTAGTAAGACATATTGGTAAACTAAACTGAAAATACAAAATAAAATTTACGATTATTAAGATACCATAGAAGGTATTAGTTCACCTAAATAGCAAAACATAGTTATCAAAGCCAGGATCTACTAAGATGTATATAACAACTTATCTGCTGATTAATTAGTTCTATAATAGATGGTACTTAAGCATGATACAGTACTTATATTTTGTTGCCAGTTAAACTAAACCTTTGTAGAGTAGGCAGATATGAAAACTGTAAAGAAGTTATAAGTATAAATCTTGATAGAATAGTTTTTAGTATAGATCTTAGTAGTAGTTGCAAATATTTAATAAAAACTATAGACTAAAGTGGAAAAGGTTCTATGTAAACAATAATTAAATATGAGTTAGTCGATTACAGGAAATAGAAAGATTATGTTTTAAAAAAGATTAATATCTTTGAAAATAAATAGCAGTTAAGTATGAGAATATACTTTGCTATAAGGGTTAAATTAAAGATTTTGAGTGTACTCTTAGTAATAATAGCAATGTTTGAATAAGATCTTTAAAGAACTGCAATGGTATATATTTTAATTTGGCTATTCGTATAAGAATCTCGAAAGGTAATATACTTGAAACTGCTACAGAAATTTGATTATTTTTGGTCAGTTGGTTGATGCTTTATAGAAAGATCTTAGCATTTAATCAATAAAGATCAAGTTTATACAAATTTATTTGATTTTTTTTTCGTAATGAAGATTTGATCAAGCAATAATAATGATTGGTTTGTCAACAAAGTGACAAAGCCAACATTATTATGAGATTAAAAATAATAACATAGTATATAAATTTGTAAATGTAATATATATTATGCCTAATCATATGAAAGCTGATATATATAGAGAAAATTTTATATTAAAAAAATTTTATCTTTGGGTTTGCTATCACTTGCCTTATGATATTAGGCTGGCTTCATTGTCCCACCTATCCCACCCGAAAGTTAAAAAATGTACTGTCTGAATTAAATATCTCTGTAGCTGTATAGAAGTACAAGAATCTTAATTGTAACTTAATGACTATATAAGGCCATGCAAATAAAATTAATTGGTTCTCGTAACATATTAAAGTTAACAAGCACACAGGACCCGGATGTTTTTGTACAAATATAAAAAAATGTTATATAAATATATTGATATATAAAAATTGTAAAATAGGCAATTAGGCGTTTATAAATATGTACATAATAGTATGTGTATACGTACGTACGTACATATTACGTATATACATCTTAAAATAGGCATTCAATAAAATATATACATGGTACATATATATGTACGTACATATGTATATACATATGTAAGTACTAGATTGAGCTTGTTTCATAACGTAAAGGTTTAAAATTATTGTCTTTTGAATCAAGTTTTAATATGTTACAAGCAAAGTACATACGTTTGATCTGTTGAAATTCAAAAAAAGGAAATTTCAACAATAGCACTTGACCAGTAATTGTTGGTTGAATTTCTTGAAATTTCGATATCAAGATAACGTTACTCTATAAATAAGCATATGCATATCGTATTAAAGAATATAAAATCATAGATATAGTTTCATAAGCTTTTCTTTAGTTTTTGACCCAAAAACATTCTTTTTTTTTTTTAATCTATTTAGTGCTATGGTAATTATAAATTTTTTTTTTAATTCTATTCTTAGCACTAAACATTCCGCTAATATGTATATATTTCATCTCTAGTTTATGTAAATGTCTATATCTCACCTGTGGTTTGTGTTTGAATCGTCTTGTGGTATGAATTTATATTTCCTAAATCATGATTATTCCATTCAACGAACATAATCATACTTATCTAAATTGTACAGTTGTCAGATTTTTATTGCGAATATCCCGTTCTTGTGCCCCTCAGCTTGTGTCGTAACACTTCGGTTTATATAGTCTCAGGAACAATCACATAAATATCATTTGACCATATTATACATTGTACACGAGGCAATAAAATGGCTGCCATTATGTATTTTAACCGACTTTTCGTCAACTCAAAAAAAAAATCACGATGATACTCTTTTTTGCATAATGCCAGCAATAAATGTACAAATAATTCAGGAATTAAAAATATTATTTGGTTGGAAAGTAGTACTAGTGCAAACCGACATTACAATTGAGCAATTTTTTTTGGAACTAATTGAACAATACATATGAAGCGAATATTTGGATCTGGTTAAAAAAGTCGAGGCTAGATGTGGAAATTCAAAGACTTCGATTAATCAAAGTATCGACCTTATATGTAATTTATGAGAAATAGCGATGGATTACGGAAAACATTTTGTTTTTCGATTTACATCTCAAATTAATTTATCCAACTATCAATATACCAACCCTTTTGATGTTATGTTAAATGCACAAAATTCTATTACACTGCCAACATGGAAACCTAATGCCAAACCAAATAAAAAAGAAAAACTTTGAAACGATATAACGATGTGGATTGAGAATGAAAATAGGGTTGGATAGGACCAGACGCAGCTAAAACGATCGGAAAATCATTTATCCAAGATTTGACTAACGCGCTATGGTACTTAGATGGATGTAATCACGATACATTTGCTCAATGATATAGTTTGCCAAAAGCTTTCAATAATTTCATGGGTTATAATAATCCTCCAAATTATAAATGCGCCCGGCCTAAATTTAACATTGAGGAACTTAATGAACACAGTGACTGCCTTCTTAAACACGTTACCCGCCCGTGGATGTCAAGGTTACCATTTTCATGATTTTTAAAGGAATCTGTAACAAAACTTGGAGAAGATTTTTCTAAATATGCGGAATATCTTGCTCACAAGCATGCAGAAACATTACATAATCGAGAGTTTAATCAACCTGTAGTTAATGAATGTAATAACGATCAAATAAACATATTAAATGCAAATATTAAATGCACCCTGGAAAATACTATAAAGTATAAGAACCTTTCATCAACTTTACAAGCACAACAATATTGGCATCCAATTCTGGTTGATGACTTTTGTTCTTCGATGTTACGCATGTATGTATCTATTGTATGTTATGAAAAAATAAAATAAAACTTGTTAAAACCTACTTTACACCTATTATGTATAGGCAAAAGCATCGTTATTTAACAAATTTGGAAGTTGGATTTACATTTAAAATTGGAACCTATACTTATCATCATGGCAATGTTTGTAATATGACATATGCTTGGCGCATAGATGAAGATGCAACGGAAGAAAAAATTTTTGATCAACATTATAAAATTAGAACCAAAATTAAAAAAAGTTTGCCTACTTATCATACGCGTCGCATGCATAGAGAGTATATAGATATATGTGAACTTCACCTAAACAAGCAACCAAAAGCCAAATTGCGGCATATATACAAAGAACTGACAAACGATGCTTTGGCTGCAGAAACAACAGATCAGAAAGAAGTAGATGAACATGTTAAGTTAGCCTTTGAATTGAATAATCCTGAAATAATTAGCGATCTTAGAGAACTCAATGAAGGTCGACTGAGTAGATATGATGAATTTTGGGCCATAGGCAAGCAATTTTTGGAAGGTATTGTACAGGAAGCTGTGGTAGCCATTGATGAAAGAAGGCACGATCCGATTGTGCATCTTGCACAAGCCATTTTAGTTCGTGACCTTCGTGACATTATAGCAAAAGAAGCAAAAAAAGTCAAACCGCAAACACCAATTCCGTCGATCCAATGGCTCCATTTACAATTTTGGCCCACCACACCAACAAATAATAATAGTTTACAATACACTGATATTTTACCTGTTAAATTCATGGTTCAAGTTCATCAACTTCGGTGTGAACACATTGATTTGCACTATGCATCAGCATTGTTCAGATATCTAAAAGAAATGGCAATTATGTTTCAAGATGAGGCTTGGCTTGTATTTATGGATGATAAACACCGCTGTAAGGTCGGTGAACCCGGTTATCCAGTCACGGCCGTAGAATGCGGAAAACGAGTGCTTGTAAATAATAATATAACATTCGTTGTAAGCGATCATGACTTTACTAAATGCGGAATTATCCTGAGTGTTACAATATTGTACAACATACCTAATACAATTGAAGAATCATTTTACACCGGAAAGGTTTATGTTGGATTAAAAGAGTGCATATTTGAACTATCAAGTTCAATGCAACATATGGCGGAATTATATGATATTTAGAATGCACCTGTGATAATAAGCCCTATCTCTTTATATACACTGATGGTGGAGCAGACCATCGAGTGAATTTTCTTCGTATACAACTTGCATTAATTGCAATTTTTCTAGCTTTGGATCTTGATCTTTTAGTTGGCATTCGAACGCCTCCAGGACATTCATGGAAGAAACCAGCTTAAACGCATTATGTCCATTTTAAACCTTGGATTGCAGTGTGTTGGCTTAATGAGAACCAAAATGAATGAGGAATTAGAGAGTTTGATGAAAAGCTGCAACACCATGGATGAAATTTGCAATAAAGCCGAAAGAGCGCCTCAACTCAAGAGAGGAATAATCGAAAGCCTGCAGCCCACTAAAACTATTATGATAATATCTTTGAACGACTGAAACTCAAAGGAGAACGGTTCTCTACATTTGAATCAGCGACAAAGCAAGATATAGAACGTTTGTGGGAGTTGGTGCTTGAAGTAGATGATTCGTTGGTACCTGAAGATACATCTAAGAAACATATTGCAAATAAGGTTAGCTTTGAATTCCAAAAAAAAAAAAAAAAAAGAAAAAAAAAACTTACATATATATATATAATATATAGCCTCATATTCTTGAGTTTATGAACCACTGTTGGCGTTCAAGAACCTATTTCTTCGAAATTAGAAAATGTCAAGCAGCTGATACTAGTTGTATAATTTGTAAGCCACCACGAAGTAATCCTAATATATTTTCAAAGTTGCAGCCCTTCCCCGATCCTATTTCTAAAACAAATGAAGATTGCTATATATCATTTAATGAAATATACGGTAAAGAAACTAGTAAAAAATACCGTCCATCTTCCTTCCAAAAAGTCAATACGTCTACATCATCAGCTAGTGTGCTACTAATAGTCTTGGTATAAATGGCATGGGCTTTAGCCCTCGAGCACAATATGCAGCGAATGTGTGCGCCTTAGTCAGGTGTGTTGAATGTAACCGGTCACAGGTCCTTTATTCACAATACCGTTTAAATCTGGAGGAGGAAAACCTTCTTAAAAACTTCATAGAAACAATCGATTATATATGCGGCACAACGTTTTATGGAATTTCAGATCTTTCAGAACCCAGCTCAGCACCATTTTTAAATGACAATAATTGTAATATTACAAAGAGTGGCGAAGCTTTTCAAGACGTAGAAAATAGTATGAATGATGATGACGATAGCGATATAAATGACACAGAGGATTATGACGATAAGTCACTTACAGAACAAAATGTGAATAGTGGCCTTTCTTTAAAAGCATTGTTTAGTCGTGTATTTGTTAATGCCAAACTTACCTGTTCAACACCAATAGAAGTCCTATATTTTTCTTCTCGCCTTTATCCGGATGTTTGTTTCCAGTGTGGTGATGCAGAAATTCTTTCACCAACACCTGCTGGTGAACAACCGTATTGTTCTGAATGTTACGTTACAGTCAAAAATAAAAAAAAAAGGAAAAGGGTGTTAAGTTTAAGGCAAAAAAAAAAAAAAAAACTATGGAAGATGTCAAAATATAAACGAAAGCTTTCTAAAACATAATGGTATATGGAATTTTTGTTATCTTCAAACACCTTTTTTCTATAATGTTATATATAATTACTCAATTATTATTCAAAAATAGAAACACACCTGGAGTCAGTATGAATATGAAAAGACGCTACCAAAAAAAAAATTTTTTTCACCTTTAACTCTACGCTATGGAATTAATTAAGTGTAATCATCAACTTGAAATATCTAGTAGTAACATAATAATATTGTTTAAAGTTCATAATATACATGAAAATTTAGCACAAAATAAAAATACAGCTGTTTTAAAAAGCTTATAATTCTTATGTATTGTTTTTTTAAAACTAGAAACACTTCAACTTTACACTTTTGATGCTGAATTGGCATCAAAGATTTGTAATGAATTGCGATCTGCATTTAATATAGGTGCTCCAAAATATTATGTTGAATTAGCAAAGATGCGCTGATTCTGATATAAATAAAAGACCAACAGCTGTTGAAATTATTGATGAATTTGAAAAATGGAAAACCATTATCTGATTGATACTCTAATAGTTCGTGCTAATATAACACCAAATTTATATAGGTGTGAGAAGTTTAAGGCACATAAACTTTTCATAAATCATCTGTCTTAATACATAGTACAGAAAATCCAGCAAGAAATAAAACCAACAAACGATAAGTTTGGCTTTATTTTTATTTAAGTAATTGGGTTTGTAGATTTACTATGCTTTTATATAAATACATACAGTATATACGCTACTTGCATAACGATACTCTATTTGAAGTTAATAATATCGATACTGACATAACTAATTCATGCATTATCCCTTTAAAAAGAGTTAAACTTCCCATACCATATCTTTGTTATTTAATTGAACATATGCATTTAGATATTTACATAATCAGATAACATATATAAGTGCTATCAAGGGAATGGGTTCTCAACTCTATTTTGTGTTCGTGAGTGCTGTCTATAGAAAGTCTATCATTGGGGTTTTCAATTATATTGTGAAGAGTCATCATGAAATATTATTGAAACCCGATGATAGGTTTTCTCTTGGTTGCACTTATATATATTATTATAAAAAAACATTTTACTTTTTAAAAAAAAATCACCTAGCCGGATTACGAAAACCAATTTTATTTATTTATATAGCCTAATGTAGATTTTGCTTAGTATGATTCTGCTTAGTGCAGTAATCACTTGATCAACAGTTAATTAATATAGGTGCTGTATAGTAGTACAAGAAACTTAATTGAATTGTATGAATTAGAGTTTGCTTAGTATGATCATAGATTAGTAGCTAAAAACAGTATAATAAATAATTGATTAATGATTAAAATATTGCATATCGATAGGATTAGTAGTTGTAAGGCTCTATGGCTGCATAGCAGTGCAAGAACTTTAATTAATACAGTCATACCTCCATATAATCACCTCCTATATAATCACAAACTCTATATAATCACATGATTTTATGCGGCATTTTTTTTAATAATAAAAATACCTCTAAATAATCACAACCATAGTACTATCACTATCACATTTTTTTAAAAAGTTTTTTTATTAAATTATTAATAAAAATACCTTTTTAAAATCACAAATTAATAAAAATTTTTATTTAAAATTTACAGATTTATAAATTTTAAATAAAAAAATTTTTATTA